ATGTCGAATAAATATATGTTTGCAAAAACCTGAGAAAGATTATTCAAAACACGTATATGATAATGTGATAATCACCTCAGAGTGTCTGTTAATAAGCTGGAAATGTTTATTATTGAGCAGTATGTTTTGTTTAACATTATGCAGTTTCCCGCATTGCATTCATACATTTCAAATGCCAACAACACATCTTCATTATTCTATCCAGTCAGCGGTGAAAAAATGTGTATTTTTGACATAATGATTAACTCAAAGGTACTTGCATGCTTTTTAAAAACATATCATATGCTACGAACGTATAATAGAACATTTTAAAATAATCATTTTACTGTAGGAAAAAGAAGTTTACCACAGAATTTTCAGATAAAATGTTTTGTTTTTGCTTGAAAAATGATAAGGTTAAAAACTAACAGTTCATGGCATCGATTCTCGAACGGTGCAGCTCACTTTCGTTGTGATTGATCATGAACATTCGCAGTGTATTCTGGCATGTAAAGAAGTTGTCAGTTCTTGCAAGTGACGGCAGCTAGTTCTGATAAACTGCTTGACATAATTCCAAGGAGAACTGTGCCGTGATATAAACAAAGTGGCTTACAGCAATGATCTGGACGGTAGAAAAAAAACAAAACAAAAAAACAAAAACAAAGAAACAAAAAATCACCAGTTCATGGTTACAGAGCAATGTGGGAATAAAGTAATTAACGTAATACACTTGAAAAATACAAGTACGAGTATTGACGAGTAAATGTTTATGAATATATACATTACATTGCATAAGCTCGAAATTGGATTTTGAAATTTGTATATATGTTGTTGTGTTTTTTTTCGTTTTTTTTTGTCGTTGGTTTTCTTTTTTATTACAATAAACCATGAAAAGAAAAGAAGAGGGAGTATCAATTAATGCTTAAAGCTAACAAATCAAATTGAAGAAGTATGAAGTAATTTAATTTAAAGCGTAGCCTGGATAATTTGCTTTATTAAAAGGGCTAAAACGGAAATTGCATCGATAAGGGTGCAAGAGCAAGGAAAATGAGGGAATTGGTGGGGGTAAAGTCCTTATCGACATACGAACATGATATTTATGAGCGTTTGCTATATTATTATCATTTAAATATGGTTTAAGTTATACTGAAATAAGGCAAAATGGGAAGACAAAACTTTTGTATGATTGATAACGGTAAATAACCATTAAGGCATTATTAGCTGACAAAAATTCCTATATATATGATCATTGTTCACGTTATTTAAGCCTCTGAAAATTCGAAATTAATGGACAAAAGGCTTTCATTGAGACTGGGCATATTGTAATTATGATATTTGTGCCATTATTCCTTTATTGGTAATCAATACATGCATTGTTATCAGTCATCAGTTTTATAATTTAGTAATTCTGGCTGTATTGTTTAACGTTTTACTTTCAGATAAAGCTGACGTATTTGTATAAGCTAATATTCGCATGAATACAAGCGCAAAATGATAGATTTTGTCATTGTCAAGTGTATTGGATGGTCTTTTAATGGTTATTATATTGGCTCCATAACGATTAACGACCTGTCCTATTGTTTGTTTTTAGGACCTTAATATTTATAGTTTACAATGTTCTTTTATCAAATTTACTTTATTACTTCTCACGCCCAGTCAGTGTTTTCAAAGTACCCGGGGGTATTACATTTAGATACTATTGGTAGATGTCTTCTGTTCATATTTTACTTTTGTGGGTTCTTTATTTGCTCTGAAAGATGTTTATCTTATGATGTTATTTGTTCTCGTTTATACATTCGACCAGACACTTTTTCATCGTCAACCTTCTGTCACATCGAAGCAGCAAATTCGCTTTCGTACTTCGTTTTTGTTTAATATTTATATTAGACTTGGAGTCGAAAACACAAATAAAATAAACAAATCACAAATGACATCACCATTTTTTTGAGGAATGCTCACTTAATAATTAAAATGTACACGTCCAGTGCAAATATCGACATAGATGTGGCACTTTTTTACGACATGATGCTGACTTGAAATTAAAATTTCAAACGCTAAAATGAAATTTGCCATGACTCTTTAAAAGACACCTAATTTTTGTTATAATATTAACAGCAATCTTTGGAAACAAATATTCCGAATAAACAAACATTCCTAATAAAAGCTAACTTCAATACTTTCATGTTTTGTATCGGAGAGAATACTAACTTTATTCTACAAATACAATGTAAATTGTTCTTGTAAACTGTAAATAAAAAAGATGTTATATCTCGTTTGACAATTTCAGCCTCTCATAAGGCGGTCAATAGTCACCCGAAGAGAAGAGATTGTCCAATAATAACATAATGTTCATTTGTAAATATAGAGGATGTGCTATTTAACGACACGCCAGCCAATCAGTAAACTCTCTGGAGATAAATTTAACGCCGTTCACTGTTTTGATATCACTTTGCTATATTTTCAACAGTAGGAACTTGGTAGCAGACCTGTAAACGCGAACTGCTCTCTTAGGAATTATTTTTTGATTTTAAAAGTTTTGTGAAATTCTCGGATGAAAATAAGGAAAAGCTGTATATAAGCTAAGATGAACAAAGTTATTACTTTTTCATAAGATTAAGTAATTGTTATTTGCAATTTATAACATTTTTTATTTTACTTTTCAGTTGAAAAAGAGAAAAGTAAAATTATTAATATGGAATTAAATGGCAGTAACCTTTTAGAAAATACAACAGAGAAAGTAAATGTGTATATTAGAAATGGGATGTATTTTAAAGGAATCGAACAAGCGATGATGAAAGTTAACATTTGGCCGCTTATTTTTACGTTTATTTTTGCAGTTCTTGGATTTATCGGAAACAGTATTGTTATATACATTTACTGGCGAAAGTGGAAGAAAACTAAAACACGTGTCTTTATTTTGACATTAGGAGTTTTAGACTGGTTAAATTGTGCTTTTAACATGCCAGTTGAAATAGTCGTATTATGGCTCCCTCTGTCATTTGATTTACATTACCTGTGTAAAATATCACGTGGATGTACATTCGTTATAAACAATACAGGATCATTAGTGCTTGTTTCAATAGCCATAGAACGGTATATTGTTGTGTATCATCCCCTCAAAAACAGACAACTTACACCAAAATTCGCGAAGGTAATGTGTCTTCTAGCGTTCATAATTTCTTCAATATTTTCATGGCCGTCTTACGTTTTCTACGGAAGCCATACACTAACAATTCAGATTGCGAAGGGCACCTTTGTTGTTGGAAAAACCTGTTTGATTGCTGATGAACATGAGTTTCGAACAGGACTGCTGCTGATATTTACCACTGTGTTATTTACCCTTCTTGTATTAGTTTTTATAGTATTAACTGTCCTGTATATTGCTATTGGGCGCAAAATATACATCGCAACATGTACAGATCTCACCGCAAATGGAAGGGAACAGGTGAGAGGTTTGTTCAGTAAGAGTATTATTTCGGCAATAACAGGAATTGCCGAGCCCACCGAAAATAAAAGCAACTCAACAAGTAGACATACAGGATATCGCAATAGTTATAAGACAAAAAGAAGTTCACAAAGTATTCAGGAACAGTCATTACCAAGCATAAGTGAAAATGAAGATTCAAAAATGACTTCTGATTCCAACGAAAACTTGTCTTCTACGAGTCTGAAACGTAAAGTGCGGAAAGTGAAAGCTACTAGAAAGAACACTGTAATGATGCGCATGGTTACCATAGCTTTCATGGTGTCATTTACACCGTTTCTTTGCATTCTCATAATACGTTATACAAACCCTATGTATTATTTTGGACTGGGAACTGCAGGCAAAATTGCTTATGCTGTCTTTCTAAGAACTTATTTCATAAATAGCATGGTAAATCCATTTATCTATGGATTTATGAATTTGCAATTTAGAAAAATGGTAAAAGATCTGTTTTTGAACATATTCTGTTGTAAGAGTTGCAGAAGAGGGAATAGTAAATTTACTCAAAGATAATGTTTTGTGGGAGACAACATAATCTGCTTCAATGACGTTTATATAAGAAAGAAGTAATTTTGGTTTAGTGCTGTATAAATTCAATGCAGATTCTAAACATATATGTGGTCATATGTTGTTGTTGTTGTTTTAATTGATATAACATTTGTACTTCATGTTTTGAATATACAGAAATCATACGTGTTCGCACTCGTTTTTCATTATAATATATAGGCAACATATTTATATGAAAACAATGTGCAAGACAGTTCAACTGTATATTATATTGATACAATAAATTCATTATAATTAGATATGTTTTAACAATATTAAATTTGAGTTAGTTTCTAGAACCTTCATTTGAAGGGATTAAATCACACTTAACTTAAATAAAAAAAACGTCTTCTATACGTTTTACATCTATTACGTACGCAAAAGAAGGAACAATAACACTAGCGAACAAATGTTTCAACTTTGCATGATTAAAGAAGAAATAGTTAATTACACAAATTTAAATTTATTTATAAATGTCCTACTGTTTTTGGCATTTGCCCCTGAAAGTGAAGTTTTCCTCTTTTAGGTCATTTAAGAGCACATCACCTAATTTCAACAACATCTCACTAAATCGTATTTCAAATTATTTTGATACTTTATTTTCTGTAATCATGCCAATGTAAACACAAAAATCAATTAACATTTTACTACGCTTCAATGAGTAAATCTACACCAACTTTCATCAAAAAATGGACATAAATGATAGAAACTGTATGCTTATCAAAATGGCCTATAACAAGAAAAAACTCGAGTTTAGGCGCAGATAACTCAACAAAGAAGACAGTGACCAACATTTTCTTCAAATGTTTCAGTTAAAAATCGTTTTACTATTTCAATTTTTCCTTCTTTGTTGGAAATGAAGAAGCTATTTTCCGCTTTTTAGGCGTATTTATAGATTTCAGAGTTATCATGTTTAGTTACCATTGCATAGACATTATTTTCTCCACGAGTACACACGCACATGCACCTACGCGCATGTAACACCTACCCAATTGCTCAGCGAATAGTTGAATGAACAGAAATGAAACAAATGTTCCGAAATATGTTTTCTTATATATTCTAACAGTTTTCTGCAAAGTATCGTATAAGTACTTATTTCTGCGGGCTTAATAGTCTGCGATTTTTGTTAAAATAAGGGGTTTTAAATTTCTGCGTATCTTATTTCTGCGGTGTCATCATTCTCGCAATGATCCTTTTTATTTCTGCGTTTTAATTAAGATATTTTACAAAATAAACCGACACAAACAGACAAAATTCAAGATTTGTTGATGGAACATGTACATTACTTCCGGTTACCATGCAGCGGACTGATACTTTGTTTCGTCGTAATCATCATGTACGTTAATAAAAAAAAAACAACAACGTGCAATGACAACAATTTTAATACTGTATGTGTATAAATATGAAGTGTGAACAATAAACGATGGCAAAATCGAACGTAGACACAAGATACAAATACAAAGGGTATGTTTATTGCACCTGTGAAAATACAATAGTTTTATTTTACAAAGAAATCAAGCTAAGGGTGAGCGAATATCATACACACATGATGCTTATTTAAACAAAGAGAACAAGCAAAGTAACGATTTTTTCTAATATTTTATTCACGACAGATGCATAAAGAAAAATTCCCATCTACAAACGCAGATAACGATACATGTTAATGAAATTTTACAATACCGGTAGTTGACATATTCAGACATATACATGTAAATACGGAAAGGCTTAATTTTCTGCGGTTTTTAATCTGCGGTGTCGTTATGAATCGCAGAAATAGCAGAAATAAAGTTCCCGCAGAAAAAAGTACTTATACGGTTGTTTACAAATAAAATACATGATAAGGTTATTTACTGCAAGCATGTGTATGCTTGTTGGAACGTATTGCATTTGTGTACAGATAATCAAATTACCTGTAAGCCATTGAAATACTTGAATATATTACGAAAGGTTTGCCAATTTGATTCAATTTCAAACTACTTACATCACAATGTTGACAGTATCTAATATAACAGCCAGTAGAGAGAGAGAGTACAAATTGGTGTTTTGGCAATGATGTGAAGATAAACTTAGTTCTTTGTCTGACAAAAAGACGATACTTGGCTGCTGCACAGTGCTCACAAACATACACTATCAAAAATGAAAAATCTTTATTATGTATTAGATTCAATTCTTTGCCTGCGGGAGGATTATGTATAAAATTACAAAGAGAGTCATTAAACAATATTTAATTCTGTACTATTATTACTTGTATGAAACATTTCGTTTATCATAAAAGTTGGTTTTACAAGATTCTTATAGAAGACATGTAATCGATGTGGCGGGAATGTGTTCCGTGTTCGAGAGGTGCGCCAGACATGATCAAGCCTACATATGGCTTATCATGGATTGAATGGCAAGGAAGATTCTCAACTGGTTTGCAATAACGTGAACCCGATCTTTAAATGGTCTTGTTGTTTTGCCGATATAATATTTTGTTTATATCATTTAAAATGCACTTATAGAGTTCTAAACCAAAAGAATGTTACAGAGTAATAAAATGTTTAATAACTGAATCAATTCTTAAACTTATTTATTTATTTGTTATAAATTAACATCTTCCAGTACCGAGTCTGCAACATTGTCGTTTTAACCTGTTGGGGCGCACAATATCACTTAAACATAATTTAAAATACTTAAATTATTTATTGCCTTACAGAACAAAAGGTGATACAATTTTGCTTCTAACATTCTGTCGATAGCTATGTTTTCAATTTTTTATATTATTTTGATACGTGAAAAAATGTAAAAAAAATACAAGAATCACAAGAAAATGTTAGGAAAATGTCGCATTTCGGTCTAAACCTATACAATGTAACTAAATGAAAATTATACAAACTGCCTGGTAAAAGAGCTGAAAATAGGCTCGATATAAGGGCCGAAGCAAAAGATAGGTCGTTACTTGGCTTGAAAGTTCCAGATATTCACAAAAATAATGTGCGATATTATGGAGAGGAACAAATGTCTTTCATCACAGTTTACAAGTGGGTGGCTTAATTTAAGAACGGGTTGCATAAACTTAAAGATGATGCTTGCCCTCCTCCTGCAACAACAACGACCAAGTTCACAAGTTCATTACATTTTAAAGACGCATCTAAAACTTTAGAAAATCTATGCGTGATAGATACCTCATTTTCTGACAAATGAGCAATGGTGGAACTCGAGTCGCAGTGGACAAAAAAATTAAAATTGTATCCAGGATATAGCAAAAGGGCCTTTGATGGCCCAGTTACTTGTGATGTGTTCTGTGTTTACTTTAACGAACTTAAGAAGAAGTGTTCAAACATAGTTTGTGCCACAATTAATGCGAGGCGCCCTATTACTGCCTTACGAACACGTACCGTCAAGAATAGAATGTATGTTATCTTTTCAATATTTAGGGTCCATGGTTGCAAATTCTTGTGCCAGACGGAAAACTGTAACTGTAAGGTAAATAGAAATATGATATTAAGAAAATTGAAGAAGATATACAATATCTGCCGCCCAAAAACAGGACTCGAGCACCTCAGTCTCCTTTATGAAAACGCACTAGCGCATCAGGCACCCATCCTGACTGAGTTTTAGGAATCGGAGAAAATTTAAGTCCTCTCTCACCCCCTTACTATCCAGACCTTGCCCCTTGCGATTATTTCTTGCCAAACTGTGCAAAACTGAAATATCGTCTATTTGGAAGGAGATATTATTCAAGAAACTCCCTCGAATCTGCTGTTTATAAGTATCAGTATAGGTTTACCTGTTGACAAGTACGAGAACCGCTTCAAAAAAAATGGATCGGCCTTCTGAAACGGTAAGCTCAGGTCGGTGGGGAATATTACAAAAGACTGACCAAAATAAATAAAACTGCAAAAAGTTACTAAGAAACAATGTCACTTGCATTATTTATCGGAATCCCCTCGTAACATTTTAAACACATAAAAGAATAGCCATTCTTCGTGATACAGTATCGCTACCCTTTTATTACCTCATTTGTTGTTATTACACTTTTTTTCATTTCTTGGGTTACATAATAAATCGAACATAAACTGTTCATGTTTGACTTGATAATATTTCTGTATGAAATAAACTCTTTCAGTAATTTAATTACACAAAACAGTACATATCACACTTCATTATCATTATTAAGATTAGGAAAAATAGTTCCATGTGGCGATAGTGTTCAGATATTCGTTCTTACAGAGGTACTTGAGATAAAAATTCAAAGATGTAAAGAGATAACAAGGTAACAGGAATTACGCTTTTGACATTATACTGCTGAAAATGTGATTACCTAATAGTAGGGGTGTAGATATTGTACCAATAAGGTTGAACAAGTAAATGCGCATTAAGCCGATACATTTTTTTTTGAAAACGAAATTATTTTTATGTCCCTGTTGCCGACAGAAATAAGTTCCGACCCAACATAGAATACACGTTTTAGATATTGATCGACGATTTTTATTGAAATAAAAAATAAATGAATACAGTGTTTCGGCGTTCGTTACATGCGTTCCCAATACACCCAGCAAAATTTCAATTTATCCATATCGACTACTTTCTTTTTCCCTGATTATAACTAGTTCTGTAAAAAGTTGTAACTCCAATGGTTATAGCAAGAATGAAGAGGTCGTCATAACCGAGTAGTTAGATCGTTCTTCTAGCAATCTGTTCGATCCCTGCCTAAAACCGTTATTTCATTGGCCTTTTTGCTTAATAAGGGTCAGCTCCAGGAACGGAATCAATTGTGTTTACATAAAACGTACTGATATATTCACAATTTAATTTCTGTTAACAAATGAAGATACGGTAAGACATTCCAGTAGCTTTTTATGAATGACAACTTTCCATTTGATATTTTTCGAACTTTACTTTTTTATGTATTTCTTTTAATCTTATAAAATTATGTAGGTTTATGTTTGTACAAAATTTATGATTACAACGTCTCGGGATACACAATAATTCGAATTGATTTTTCGTTACAGTACTCTCTTATGACATTATGTTACAGGCATTATTGCATAAACATCTGTGCAAGCAGCTATATATAATGATTTAGAAAGGAAAATGCATAAACGGATAAAATCACGCAAACCACGTTTTTGTTTGTTTGTTTGTTTGTTCTTTTTACGCCTTTTCCCAACAGTATTTCAATCATATAGGCGAGTAGTTTCCTAACCATCGTTCGTGGAGAGTTACACCAGTACTAGACTACCTACCTCCGCGCTAAACTATCAATAAATCTCCCGGGGATCGACCCCACGCCAGAGAGGTAACTGGATAAGAAGTCATCGACTCTAACCCCTTGACCATGGAGGCGGTTCGCAAACAATGTATAAATAGCTTAGTATACTGCAATGCCGGCCCTGATAGCTTCAGTATCAAATAAAATTGCACTAGAAAAAAAAAATAAAAAGAAAAAAACCCAATAATTGAAAAATTTACAACATGAAAGAATGGGTGAAAAATTTTTTCCTTTTTTAAATTTTCTTTATCCTTTCTTAATTTAAATCATTTTTTTAACCCCGAAAACTTTTAGTTTTAGTTTTTAGGGGTTCAATCTAATTTTAAAAATTAAATTGGGCAATGAAAAGGTTTTTTGAGTCGGAAAATAAACAGAAAAGTCCAAATTAATTAGCTAAACAAAAAAAGTTTTTTTCCATTAGATATTAGTAAAATTAAAATTTTTTTAAATTTCAAAGACTTTTTGCTTTTAAATGATTTACAGTTACCTTTCAACAAAAAAAGGGGAATACAAAAAAAAGGGGCCTCTCCCTAATGCCCCCCCCCTAAAATATAAAATCCCTAGAAAAATTTCCAATTTCTGAAACAAGTAAAAGGGCCAAATGAAACAAACTTTTATATTTAAGAGTTGACCATTTTTTCCCCGGGTTATTAACTTGCCAAAAAATTTTTAAAAATTTTGAAAATTTTTCCCGGGAAAAAAAAGGGGGGGGGGGGGGGGGGGGGCCCCCGGTTGGGGGGGGGGGGGGGGGGGGGGGGGGGGGGGGGGGGGGGGGGGGGGGGGGGGGGGGGGGAAATTTTTTTTTGGGGGGGGGGGGGGGGGGGGGGGAAAGGGGGGGGGGGGGGGGGGGGGGGGGGGGGGGGGGGGGGCCCCCGGGGGGGGGGGGGGAAAGGGGGGGGGTTTGGGGGGGGCGGGGAAAAAGGGGGGGGGGGGCCCGGGAGGGGGGGGGAAAAGTTTTTGGGGGGGGGGGGGGGGGGGGGGGGGGGGGGTGTTGGGGGGGGGGGGGGGGGCCCGGGGGGGGGGGGGGGGGGGGGGGGGGGGGGGGGGGGGGGGGGGGGGGGGGGGGGGGGGGGGGGGGGGGGGGGCCGGGGGGGGGGGGGGGGTTTTGGGGGGGGGGGGTTTTGGGGGGGGGGGGGGGGGGGGGGCGGGGGGGGGGGGGGGGGGGGGGGGGGGGGGGGGGGGGGGGGGGGGGGGGGGGGGGAATTTAAACCCAGTTTTTCCCCCAAAAAATTTTTAAAGGGGGAAAAAATTCCCGCTAGAGTTTTAAGAAAAGTGTGGATGACGACGTACACAGACACGGACATTCGGGACCCAAAAACTCAATCCTATTCAGATACATTTTGAAGGAATAGAAATGTCAATTTAACCATTATTGTACAATTAGAGGATTCTGTAATATCATGTAAAATTGTTGTTTTTAATTCATCCAGGGGATCATACTGACTAACGATAATTTTCTTGCATATATACTTTGTTATGTTCATGATATTCTAGATTTCACTGAAATATGACGTTTGACAGTGTTTGACAATACATATAAGCATTTAAATCTACATATGTCCGATACTGGAATATTTATTATACTCTGAATATACATCGAACATAGAATTCTTTTTTCCATGCATATTGTATGTAAACAGACTAAAATGTTTCGGGACAAAATTATTATTATAATTATTATTATGGGCAAATTAAAGAACTTATTTTTTGTTCTAGTAAGAACCCATACAAAGAATGTTTCTTGGAAAACAAAACACTTTATGTAGAAATAAACCGCGTTAATATTTTCATGCAAACACACTTTTTTTCTTTTTAAATATTCTGTGTATGTATAACATCCTCGAATGAGTGGGTCCGATAAGACATAATTATTATAGCACCTTTTCTATCGAACGCTCTTTTTAATCCCGGACAAGTTCAATAGTTTCTAAATCTGTGTAAGCAAAGAAAACATTATTTCTTTATCATGATCTAGAAACAATCAGGACGACCAAGACAAAATAACTCTTTTTTATTACATGCTTTTCGGTGGTTTATAGAAATATATCAGTGATATAAAACTGGTAATTTCACTGTTTGAAACAGTGAAATTACCACTTTGATAATTTCACTGTTTTGAATTTAAGCCCCTTACGTTGTTTCAGTGAAATACCAGCGTGCACAGTACTGGGTACCAACTTAATGACGTGACGTCGTAAATGACGTCACGTTGTATTATTATTTGGCGCGCTTTTCATTCAGTATTAGGTTAAATGTGTTTTTAAAAAGTTTCTTTGCTGTAATAAAAAGAAAATTTGTTTAGTTTAGTGTAAGATCGAAATATATTTCACCTTGTGAACACCAAAAGTTCATATTTCACTCGTGGCTGCGCCACTCGTGAAATATTATACCTTTTGGTGCTCACTCGGTGAAATATATTCCGATCTTACACTGAACTTTAACAAATATCCTCTATTTTTACATGCTTTTCGGTACGGTACAGTTTATAGAAATATATCAGTGATATAAAAATGTGTAATTTCACTGTTTGAAAGCAGTGAAATTACCACTTTGATAATTTCACTGTTTTGAATGTAAGCCCCTTACGTTAATTTCAGTGAAATACCAGCTTGCACAGTACTGGGAACCAACTTAATGACGTGACGTCGTTAATGACGTCACGTTATAATTATTATTTGGCGCGCTTTTCATTCAGTATTAGGTATATATAAAATGGATTTAACTTCTCTCTACAAAAATAAAAACCTTTTTAACACAGTAAAAGCCTACCTCCCTGTAAAATGTAAAAAAAAACCCGTTTTGGCACAAATATGTATCATATTTTGGGTTTGGAAAAAAACAAACAGTATTTTCAGACAGTGTCAAAAATCGAGTCCATTCAATGTTGACTGTCCCCCAATAATGTGTCCGAGTACTGTCCAGAGCAAATTATAATACACTTCATGGTTACGAGGGGGGGGGGGTCAAAATGTCTGTGCACTAGTGCTCTATTTTTTATCAGTAACAGTATATATCCTGATGGTTCATAAATATCTTTTATTGTGGTGCCGCTTAAGGCTTAGACAAAAAAAATAGTAACACTATAGCACTCTAAAAAGTTTCAATGCAACTTTATACAATATTTTGATAAATCATTTCTTTGACTCCGAAAACACCAAAAATTTAAATTGCATAACAAAGGTGCCTGATTAGTGAAAACTAGTGATCTCTGTAAATAATTCTGCTTACCACTTGAAATCAGTAAATGAAAATTTAATAAATCTGATATATGATAATGAAGTGAGCATGTGTTTAAAGTTAGACAGTAATACATCAACAAAATACAAACTTATTTAAGACATCAATGCAATATATTAAACTTACTACATAGCATGTACAAAATAAGAGGCATATTAACATTTGCAAACAACAAATAGCACTAAACTTCTAACGTGTAATAAACAATTTATAATATATGGCATTTTTATGCTCCATTGACATAAAAAATGTCACAGTCTGCAATAACATACTGATGTCATAAATAATAAAATTAGTGTTTAAACACTGGCATTATTAAGTCAATCTTTTCTGCTAGTGAAATAATAATTTGATAAATCACTGGATTTTAAAAGTTCCTAAAAAGAAGCATAGTCTTAGCTGTTTTGAAAAATATTGACACTTCACATTTGCTATTTTCAAATAGAGCCAAAATATACAGCTTCATGTTCAACATCAAGAGGATTTAAATGTCTGATTAAGGAAGGGGAGGGATTGCACCATCTATGCAGCAAAAATAAAGGCACTGATCAGCTGATGGTTACCACACACAGCTATTCCTGCCACCTTTGTGTTTTTGCAAGTGCAAAAAAGCAGGTTTTTTTCATGGTAAAAAGGTAAGCTGTTAAGAAGTCAATAATATGTCCATGACACAGAAGGTTGAATTTAATTTAAAATGTTGGTTCTATTTGTTCATTAGTTTTTCCAATTTTTTTCCACAAAGTGTTAATACCCAGCCGACTTGTGACTAAGAAAGGCTTGTTTAAATACTGTTTGTTGAATGAATCCAAGGAGTTGTGAAAAGCAGTAGGGTTTTCTAGATCCATTATATAATACCAGTTTATTAATAAGAATAGCCCTTCCATGAGGCTATCTGTCTCAAGTAGAATCTTGCACCGGTCTCCAACAATATACTGTTTGTCCAATTCTATGTTGTTAAAAATAAAAAACAAAGCTTCAACTTGGAGGAGTATTAGGCTGTGATGTCAGATGACAGGACCTTTGACAGATTAGCTTCTTCAATATCCTGCAAAATGAACATGGAAATAAAAACAATGAATGAGTACCATCCTTCATAACAGGATCAGGGAAATCTTCTACCTTAAGCATTTCCAACCAGCACATAATAAAGTGTTAGTTAATGTCTGCTTCTGGAGCAGTAGGTCAGAAATTCGATCTTCTGCCATGCCATGCTGAGCAGGGCCAACATTCGTGGCTATTTTATATAGTGACAAGACAGGCAAAAATGAGATACCATGTTTGACAAAGAGGCATATCTATAGAGATACTTATCATATACTTAAATAAGTTTACAACTCAATCCATTTAATATGCTATTTGGACAAAATTGTAAGTTTGAAAAGGGGCATAACTCCAAAATAAAGTTCTAAGAATAACTCCCCTTGTCTGAACAGTGTGTCTTGTAATGTAAAGCAAATATAAAATGAATTTATCAAAGTCTTATGCTGATACCTTTGATAGTTTAGACATTAATTCATTTAATAAATTTCAGAATTTTTGTCCCTTGTCAGTTACAAATGTGTCTTGTCATGATTAGCGGCTGCAAGTATTCAAGTTAAAATTAAATTCAGTGGTATATACAAAACTGACAAAAAAAAATTCCGGTAAATTTACTATACCTTATGTAGAACTACAATTTATCTAGTCTTGCACCCCTTTCCATGTTTGAATCCTGTATTACTTTCTATGGCTCTTATAACGTCCAAATCATCTTTGCACTGCAACAGAAAATCAGTAATTCTAAGTAAACAGAACGCACACAATCAGATCCTAAACACAGCTTTTTATATGACAAAATGAACACATGATTAGCAGTCAACACACTGTGTTAACAATTTAACCATATTTGCATTAAGTGACAAAAGCACTGTAAAAAACAAACATCAGCCACAAAACAAGATTATGCCATGTTGGATTTCCTGCAATATATCTCAGGATAAGTCGCAAATTTTTGAAGTCCAGTCAAAGCACATTAAAATTAAAAATTACATATTTTGTATTAAAAATCAGATATTTTATATAAAAAAAAACAACAACAACAACAAATAATCATTGTCAGAACTATTTGATTAATGTACAGGTGCAGAAGCATAATCAACTTCCGTGACCGTGGGTCTCCTAGGTCAACACAACCTTGTTATAACATGGTAGTTTGAATCCTTTTATATAGACCATGTTAGTTAACCACATCACATTATATCCAAACAAAAAAGTATTTATTATATATTTAAAAAAATATGGAATTTTTCTTTCTATTCTATACCTTTTGTGAATACAATTTTTACCCTCTTTTAAACATTATTATATCTTAAGCCGCATTATAACAAGGCTGTGCTGTATGCATAGTAATATTGCAATGATATCTTTTTCCTTATTCCACAAGGTTGCCTGCCCTAACAGTAATCTTAACTCATACCTCTTTTCCTCCAGGTTTAAGTGTAGCTACTGCTTCAAACAATATATGTAGATTGTCAACTGAACAAATGGTTGGATGTGGCCTACTGCAAGAATTAATTTAATTTCAAACAACATCTGAAAAAAAAGAAAAATAAAAACAATTATTATAATTAGCTTATTTGATAATCATATGATAATTAAAAAAGGAAATGTAGCAAAACAGCATAGATCACCTGCCTTTAAATTTCACTTTCCAAATATTTTTATAACCATTAATGTTTAATATGCAATTTATGACACAATTAACAGCCATTTGTGTATGCTCATATATGATGTAATTTATAAATCATTTCTTTTTTTTTCTAAGTTAATTTTTTTTACATTCAGGAAAAAGTTCTGTTCAGCAACAAATATGTAACATGGTTGTTGGGGTCAATACCAACCTCATGTTAGTTTAAACGTCGCATTAATGATTATACATCCAAACAATACTGTAAATATTACAATAATAACCATTCATGGTTATTTTTATACATACTCATAGTCTACACATTTTAGGAATTAATCTTTGAACTTTATTATATCCAAAGGACTTGCTAGAAAGAACCTCATATAATGAGACTTATAATGTGGCATGTAAATATGCATATTGATAAAATGATTTTGTAATTTTAGTACAACATATTAATCTTTGAAATAATTTAAGCCATGGCATGATAAACCTGCAGTAAGGATGTACATCCATCAAGGACTCAGACCTGACAAGATGCCTGCATGGTTGGGTCCTGGCTATCCACTCAATGAAGTATAGGACCTTTGGGTAACCATTGAACGCACAGTTAACATCTGATTGGATAAAGGGGTGGATGGGATGATCCAGGTTTTTGCTGAGCATACATGTAAATTAAAGGTCATGCCCCCGCTCATATATAAATTACTCAATGTGTCAACTCATTTAAGATTCTTTATATACAATATTGCATTTTCCAAATGTTCAAATTTAAGTTATGTTATCAGCTTAATTGTTCCTTTCTCAGAAATATTGTTGGAGTTTAACACCTGTTTCAATAGTATTTCAGTTATATTGCAGGCATTTTTTGACAAGAAATATTATACTATATATCAGATTTTAATAGTCAACTGATAAGGACAGAAAATTCAAATCTACCATTTTTTCATGCAACTTACAAGATGGTGTTACAATTTCTGTCGCTGTGGTAACAGTTGTGGACTCTGTCTCAGTCTTTGATATGTTGGCATCTTGGGTGTCTGCCCAAACATTACAACAGTGTCTTTTGGAATATCTGGTTCTCATAATTGTTGGTCTTCTAGAAGCATCAATACTTAGTTTTGAATATGTCAAGGATGGCGTTTTCTTCCATTTCTGTCACATCTTTTTCCAGCACAACAATCAAACTTCCTCCTTGCAACTGTTGCTTGTCACCAGCTAAAATATTGAATAAAACTTGAGATAGTGTTTCTGAGAAATAGTCATCAATACCAACTAGATCGAAGTATCAAACTGTTTGAATTTTTTATCAAACTACAGATCTTTTCTGTAAAACATTAGACAGTCATTCTAACATAACAATTATGTATTGTAGCTATCAAATATTATATAGATGAGATCTGTAGTTATATTCATGAATATGATTTCTGCCATCACAAATGGATCTCAACAGCATATATAGAACTCAAATTAAATTTTGACAACTGTTCCTTTCTTTTAAGAAAATTCTAAATAATATCATCAAGTAGGGTTTGTTTTACTGTTAACATGATTATTATATTTTGTGAAAAGTTTGTGTTTTGAGTCTACTTGTTTGAATTTTCTTTATACTGTGAATCAGATATTTTTGCAAGGCTAAAATTTTGTGAATTATATGATTAACATTTAGGGTTCACCATGTTAAATGTTTGTGAAAATCAAAGTGGAGGACAATAGTCATTTCATTTTAGGTAATACTTACATGATGATTATTTATTGAATTTGCAAATGTAGTAAAAATTTAACACCGAAAGGTAGAATCACATTTCTTTTTTAAAAAAATCAATTCAAATGTAAATAAAGCTATGATACTGTGAAATGTCTATTTTTTTTCTATTCACATATCGGTTTTACTTGGCATCTGGATCACCAACTTTCACAAAGTGTTTTACGCCATCAACTGTGGCTGTACAGTAGTCACACCTGTACAGATTTTCTTATGACAAGGCTTTATAATCTAAATAATTCTGAGATTCCTCTTTTGAGCACACAACCTAACACTGTGTTGTAATTGTGCTGTAGTGTGTAAAAATACTTACATTTCTTCAGAAGGTCTTCAAGACTGCTTGCAAGGACAGATATTCTCTTCTGTCTTGTAGTGTAGTACCTCCAAAATTTTGTACTCATTAGCCATACTAGTTCTTAAATATGTAATTACGAGAAGAAACTTGTAGCGTAACATGTAGATCTGACAGTACCCAAAATTACATTTTATTGAAGTACCTTTATTTATCCATAATAACTGTTCTTCCATTACAGATATGCAAGACAGGGGCAAAACAAACTTGAGATCTTGATATTTTTTAGCAACTGTCTTTGTATCTGAACGTTTTACAAAGTAAGAGTCAATATGTTCATCACACTCTATAACCACAACTTGCACAAGAAGAGTAAAAACAAAAAAATTCTGGTAGAAATCTAGTCAATGACTAAAATCTTAACAACAACCCAGTGTTTTTCCTTATATAACTGATACCGGAAAAACGGCACCGTTACCAATAGAAAATAGACAGCAAATTTTCCAATTCATGACTGATAAATTCCAAATTTAACACTGAAAATTTCCTCTAAAAACACTTAAACAGTAATGCATGCCTTGGAGCCTTCCGTATTGATAAGTGATTTACGATAAAAACCAAGTAAAACCACATGAGTGATATTCGTACCCAGTTCATTTCGTACTTAATGTTCACACCTACTAAACATTATTTATGTACAATTGTTATGATTATCAATTTTTTTTTCAACCTCAAGCAGCAAAAATAATCTTTAAAGTTAATAATGCATGATTTTAAAGTGTGTAATTATGCAAAATTTTCATCACCTCCCTGGATAAAGAAATTCCCAATAAATATTTTGCATCTAAAATAAAATTCCCAATTTTAAGTCAAAACCGATAGATTTTTTCCCAATCTGTCCGGTACCGTTAACTGTACCAGCACCATTCCCAAAGTAGGGGAAAAACATTTTGACTTTCTGATATTAATTGAATGTTTTATATTTAAATATTATATATATATATAAGCGTTTCTTTACTTGACAACGTGATCTCGCTTATCCAATCAAAACACGTTGAATGTAAATGATAATGGTTTCTGTTTTTCTAGCTATGTTGTTTAAAAAGTTTTTATTCAGTATGTTTTTGTTTGATGTCCTAAATAAAGTTTAAGTGTAGTTAAAAATTATTTTTAAAGTATTCCCTATATAAAATTAATGTTAACTTAGCCTCAATAATCAAATCGAGATTAATGAGTTAAGAATCAAATCCAGAGAAAGCTGAATAGTTGCACCCTGACAAAAGGAACAATTATTATAAATGTGTGATAATATATAGAACTATATATGTTTATTTGTCTTTTCATTCTAAAGTTTATAAAATATTGAAAATAATGAAATTTAGGGGTGTGGGGGTTTATAGGAAATTTCAATCAAAAGGTTTATACAGTTACTGTTAAATGACAAATTGACAATTATACTAATACCTGCCATGCCCATCGTGCTTCCATTACAGGGATATAAAATAACCAGGGATCCAGTCGCAATGGTCCTAACTTTTGGGTAGGGCCCAAGCTTTCTAGAAGAAATGCCTAAATAACTAATGTAAAATAGTCTGGGCCCCTAGATAAAAATTGTTAATTTATATACCTTCATTATCAGACAGGTAGATCTATAAACTGTAACATAGTCAATCCCATAGCTGATCATTGGACATCATGCGCCATTTCCTACATCACTAAATGTAAATAAGATTTTACTTTAATTTGTTGGTGTGGACAGAAATACTCCTGCCCTGGTGGACCAGTTGAAAGACAAATTTAAATTATTTTAATCCTTAACAAGTAAACAAACGATACAACCTAAAACTACCCCAAAGTGATTTGAATACAAATCCGTGAAAAAGAACACCAACAGTTTTAGTAATTTTTGCACAAACAGAATTAACTGACCAATCTAATCACGATAACGTAAACAGCATTCCCCACCCACCTGTTTCAATTCGTCTATCGAAGCGAAAATGGACTATATAGTACATAAAACCTAACCATTCACCTGTTTTAACGTTAAAAATATTAAAAAATCTATTTAAGCAACTGTTGTACATAACTGTTATGGAAGAAACAACAAAAATGAGGCAAACAATTTCTGGCGGTTTTTGTCGTCTGATCTACAATGTGCTACATCGCCAGGCGCTTTACGGAGATATCAATCGAAGCGTACTCTTTACACGCAAGCATCTGGCTGCTATGATTCGAATCTTTTTAAGATTAAATATTTTATGTAATTGAATTCATCATAATTTGTTTCTGGATCTAGATATTTTAATATGGGGATTGTTCAAAAATAATTCTAATTATAAAAAAAAAAAAATGTGCTAAGGGGAAGTAACCGCTGTCAGATTAAACCTTAGTGTATTTTCCGACCCAAATGATGTTTTTGTCTCATTATTTTTTTACATGTGGCCTATTCACAACACGTGCGCGACTTCAACTCATTCAATAATGTAAAATTATTTAATTATATATTCTAGGTTGTCCTGTGAAAACACCACCGTTTTCTGGGCATCGAGCGGAAAACATGAATAAAACATATGTGTTTTCACTGAAACGTATACAAAACATAAGCATTTTATATGAAAACGTCAGTGTTTTTGTGTGAAACACTTGTAAAACACGTGTAGTGTTCCCAAAATTTACAGTGTATATATGCTGTTTGACACGTCACATAAATATATAGTTTGTGGTTATATCAATGACTGATGATTTTCTATGGCTGTGATTGATAATTTGCCAAATCGTTGATTAATAATTTGCCATGCCATTGATTGATAATTTACCATGTCATTGATAGATAATTTGCCATGTCATTGATCACTGATTTGCCATGATATTGAATGATTATTTGTGATATCATACAATGATAATTTGCTATGTCATTGACTGATAATTTGCCATGTCATTGATTGATAATTTGTCATAACATACATTGATAATTTGTTATATCATACATTGATAATTTGTGATCTCAGTGACTGATAATTTGCCATGTCATTGACTGATAATTTTTCATATCATATATTGATAATTTGTCATGTCATTGACTGATAATTTGTCATGTCATTGATTGATAATTTGTCATAAAATACATTGATAATTTGTGATCTCAGTGACTGATAATTTGCCATGTCATTGACTGATAATTTTTCATATCATATATTGATAATTTGTCATGCCATTGACTGATAATTTGTCACGTCATTGACTGATAATTTGTCATATCACATATTGATAATTTGTCATGTCTTTGACTGATAATTTATCATGTCTTACATTGATAGTTTGCCATGTCAAAAATTGATTATTTGTCATATCATTGATTGATTGATGATTTACCAGTTCTCTGAATAATGCAAAGAGGAAACTCTTGACAATCAGCGTAGGCACGGATCATTTTAAGAAAGTACTATGAATAATTCATGAATATAGTATTGTTGAATACATGGATTTTGAAAAAACGAATGGTTGCATTTTTAGAGTACATTATACTTGCGGTATTTGTGTATTACAAACTTACGACTTTACATTTTGACACGTAATAGAATGTCGAGAATATAAGAAATCCTGGTGTTATAGCAAGTATAAGCAAGCAGTTGCTTTCAGAACAACTAGGGACTTCATTTTGCAACCATTGACTTTCCGTCGAAACAAATTACTTTCCATATCAACAGATGCTTTTCCATAGCTAGGGACGTTAACTTGCCATAGCAACCAGTAGTTGCTATATAATTGATTTTCATTAGCAATCAGTGACTTTCTTTCTTGTGTACTATTTCAAAAGCAGATTTAAACTTCGATCTGCTGTCTTTTTCCCCATCCCGGTTTTCGAAAAATTTATTTAAACCCCCAAAATTTTGTCAAGGGTTTAATTTTTTTTTTTTTTTAAAAATTATTGCATTATAAGCCGGGGGGGAATTTTTAAATACGGGGAAAATGTGTTTAAAATTACCACTTATTTTAAAAAACCAAAAACCCGGGGGAGGGGTAACTAGTAAAAAGCAATATTTCCTTTAAAAAACATACTTTTTTTTCATGATGAAAACCCTTTTTTGGATTTGTTTTTTAGAAATTTTTTAATTTTTTAAAATTTTAAAATTTTTTTAAAGTCTAAATTGAACATTCTCTACAAATGTTAACATCATTTATAACAAATTAAGAACAACAACATATAAATAACTTAACCCCTGGTTGAAAAAGAACAAAGGATCAATTAACTTCTCATTAGCAGAACTTTCAAAACTGTTTCAAAAACCTATTAATACAGGAAGTCAGGTGAAAATTGATATCAGAACATATTCTAATTGACGTCTTTAACATCAAATTCTTTACCAAATAAAGAAAAGAATAAAAATTTATATTTTCGTTTATGGACATTTCTTATTATAAATATAATTAATTTGACAAACAAATGGTAAAATGAAGGACTATAAGACTGTCGGTAAGAATTAGATTATTTATTGGCACACAAAGTTGATTTTTATTTCTTAATTTATTTATTGTTATTTAGGTACAGATTTGTAAGGTTATTGAAATTTAACACGAAGATGAAAAATATGAAATAAGTTATAATTAATTTTCTTAACTTAATTTCGTGTGAATCAGAAGAGAAAAAAATTCCTTTTTAATTACTTAGCCATCCTAATTTCATATCGATTAAATTGATTAAAAATGTTTTAAGAGTAGCATGTTACATGCTTATCACTTGATAAAGAATACGCTAAGTATGACACTATTAGTTATTTAAGAATCAAGATACAAACAAAGTACATTTATGACGACAATATAACATTCTTAATCACTGTAACTTTACTAATTGTCAAACTTTTACTAAAACAAGTGATAAAGAGAGAACTACCACGAACTAATACAACTCTAGGTCATATTTCTTTCTACTTTAATGTGTAAATGATATAAAGTCACGTATACAAATGTGTATATTTTGAGAAAAAAAAAATGTTTAAGCCAAGCAAATGAAGGTTTTGGTTAAGGATCAATAAACAATAATTAAGAAACGTTTTTTGAAGGAAAAAAAAGAGAACAAAATAATAATGATTAAAAATAAAAAAAAACATTTCTAGGGCTTTGAACAACGATATATCGTTTTGAATCATATTTGAAAATGCGAAACTCATATTTACATTTACAGTTGCTTTGGTGACGTTAACTGTCGTATTGTTGCATGAAGTTCAAAAAATAAATCAGGTATACGTTTGGTTATTCGGATATACTATTTACTGAACTATCTATAAGCATGTAATGCGATTGCTTGAATAAAGACAACATAATGATTAGGTAGTTGAAATGAAGATAAAAATATTAAGCCATATGCTTATCAGATCATAAACTTGATAATCATGGGGAATTTATCAAAGACCGTTACAATAGTCTACTTAATCACCATGTAATAAGCCTGAACTAAAAGAGATGTAAAGAAAGAACATAAAAACAGGTGTCATACATTAAGAACCTTTATCGAAGTATATCACTGATTTAGTTAAAACTTCTTTTGATACAAGTGATAAAAAGGTAATTTTTATGTATTTGAGGAAGTATCAAACGGCGTTGCAGGCACTGGTTGTCAAGACGAGAATATGAACATGACAAAAGATGTCGGTGTAAGGGTACGGCGTGAAATTACTGAAGGTAAGCAAAAGATGTCGGTTGTGTATGTTTATTTAGGTAAACGTCATTTTAAGAGTATACTTATTTTTCGTTTGGAATTATTACAATAGTTCAAAATACCCCCAAAGCGTTACTAG